AATCTTTTTTTTTTTTTTTAAGATTTTATTTATTTATTTGAGAGAAAGAGGCAGAGATAGCAACAGAGAGCAAAAGCAGGGAGGAGAGGGAGAAGCAGGGAGCTCAATGTGGGGGCTCCATCCCAGGACCCCGGGATCATGACCCGAGCCGAAGGCAGGCGCTTAACCGACTGAGCCACCCAGGCGCCCCCCCGTTCACATTGAATCTTAATCACGATTTCTTAATATTGTCAAATACCTGGGCAGGGTTCAAATTCTGTCTTTCAGCAGCCGGTGGGTTCATTTGTGTCCTTCAGGTCTCCCTGTGACTGCTGGATTGAGGGCTGCAGTATTGGCCAGCCCCGCGCGGGCACGTGTCCTGGGCTGTCTTTGGCCCGTGGCTTCTCCATAACCATTCTGTTCAGCCTCACTTACCTCATCTGAGAAATGGGGGTAAGAACGGACTTGGAAGGATTCGGGGAGCCTTGGTGCCCGTTGGTTTAAGTAGGACCGTGTGCACGACCCACGGCCGAAGCAGGTGGTATATAAAGCCTTCCAAAGGTGCTCAAGGGTGATACGGGGTAACTGGCAGCAGGTGGCCAAGCCGGAGCTTGGGGACTTTTTTCCAGCCCGACTGGGCTGGGGCCAGAAAGCTTTGATCTCACTTTGCCCCGTGAGATCCTATTCACAATGGCAGTTGAAATTACTACAGCAGTATACATCACTCACAAAATGCTTTACCACGTGCGAGGATTAAAGGCATTCCTATAGAACAATCCCGTCGGGGGGGGGCGCATACCGTTATCCGCATTTTCCAGGTGGGGAAACTGAGGCACGGGTGTGGGGGTGTTAAGTAACTTGTCGTAGGCACACAGCTAGCAGTTGACAGGGCCGGGGTGGGTCCTGGGGCAGCCTGCGGCAGAGCATACCACCCCGCCGTCCCACAAGGGACCTTTATCAGTCTAGGGGCACCCGATCCCCGCCATGAGCACTTGGTGGGCCACTGGTGCCCTGTTGCCTCGGAGCTGTTGGCCGCACTGGAATCTGAAGCATTTATTCCAAATGTAGCAACTCTGGCCCCTCTCCCAATTTCCAACCTCCTAGATCCAGGGTAGGTCCTGGGAATGAGTGTGAAGACAGCAGGGGAGATGAGACAGGGTCAGGGAGGCAGAGGGTGGAAGCCGGAGGCCGCTGCACCTTTGGCCTTTTCTCGTTAGCCAACTCACAGAACAGCAGGATCAAGGCCAATATTGATGCCACGACCTACTGTGCACAAACCACAGGCCCTGTTCTGAGACTGTCCACCGCCACATGAGACATGCGGACTGTGATTCCACCCGTTTGTGACCAGTGAACGAACACATGGAGGCCCAGAGAGGTGAAGTCACTTGCCTGGGGCCACCCAGCCTCCCATGCATGGTGGAGCAGGGACCTGAACCCCCGACTCTAACCCCTGTCATTTCACGCTGGACCTCTTGGCATCAACCCAATAGGAGACATGGGAGGCGGAGTTACCAGACGTGCTGATCATTGACATACCGTTTTCTTTTTATTATGGAAACTTTCCAGAATGTACAGAGTGACGAGAACGGTACCGTGAAGCCCCCAGGTACCCCTCACTCAGCCTTAACAGTTATCAACATCCTGCCACACCCTGTCCCCCCCCATCCCACTACCACTTGATGGTGACGATTTGGTTTTTTTAGAGCTTTTTAAGGTCAGATTTACATGTTTTGAACTTACATGCACAAATCTGAGCTGTGACATTTTAAACCCTCACGAAACAGGCACTCCATCGCAAGGCAGAGCATTTTCCTCTCGTCTAAAACCACCCCCCCTTCATTTCTCTGCTGTTACTGGTGGAATGAAAATGCACGAATGGGATCACCTGGGTGGCTCAGTTGGTTGAGCGTCTGACTCTTGGTTTTGGCTCAGGTCTGATCTCATGGGTCGTGAGCTTGAGCCCTACGTCAGGCTCCACGCTCTGCGTGGAGTCGGCTTGAGACTCTCTCTCCCTCTGCCCCTCCCCTGCTCAAATAAATGAATAAATCTTTTTTTTTTTTAAAGATTTATTTATTTATTTGAAAGAGCGAGAATGAGAGAGAGAGTACATGAGAGGGGGGAGGGTTAGAGGGAGAAGCAGGTTCCTTGCTGAGCAGGGAGCCCGATGCGGGACTCGATCCAGAGACTCCAGGATCATGACCTGAGCCGAAGGCAGTCGCTTAACCAACTGAGCCACCCAGGCGCCCTAAATGAATAAATCTTAAAACACACACACACATACACAAATGAAAAAAATTCTCACAGAGACGTACATTCACCCGCGGGCCCCATTTGGAGAGTCCTGGTCAGGAAGCACCCACTCCTGGCTATAATTCTGCTGGCCCGAGGTTTGCAGAGCTTGGGCCACACCTGAAACTCAGCACAGCAGGGAGGGGAGACCCCACCCAAATCTGACTGCTCTGGCAAAGCCACCTTGGGTGCTCGTGGACACCCCCAGACCATGGCAGTGCACCCGGAATCTAGCTGGGACAGGATCCCATGTTCCTGGATCATGTGACAGATGGTTTCTAGATCTTTCCAGGGCCTGGGCCTGCCAAGCAAGAGGGGAAGCCACTGGGTGCTCCCATTCCTCTCGCTTTTTTGAATCTGAACTATTCCAAGCATTCTTAAAATGATAACAAAGGCTGCCACCCAGCTTCATCTTATCTTGACATTTTTGCCATATTTGCTTCAGATTTTAGAAGAGAAACAGCGTGATGAGAGGAACGAGAGGAACGTGCATGGGATAGCGGTTAAGGGCGGGGACTCTGAGTCTGCCTTGGCTCAAGCCCCAGCCCGGCCGCTTTACCAGTTGAGGGCTCTTGGGCGTATTGCACACTGTTCTGAGCCTCCGCTTCCCCATCTTCAGAACAGGGCTAATAAAAGTGCCTGCCTTGCAGGGATCTAGAGAAGGTGAAATGGTTCATACAGGTAGAGCGCTTAAAACCAGTGATGGGCAGGTACCATATTTGCAATTCCAAATATTTCATATTTGCGAAGCTACCTACTCGTGAGCACGTATAACCCGCAGATCAATACCGATGCACTTCCCTGGTCACCAGGGGACTTGTGAAAAATCGGAGTGGCCCCGAGTGCCTGTGCCTGCCGAGGTTGAACAAGGCCACACTTTGCCTTCTTGGTTCAGCTCCCATATTATTGAGTGCCATGGTTTTTGCATCTTTGTGCTCTTTGTGGGTGGTTTTGCTGTTGAAAACGGCTCCCGGCGTAGGACTGAAGTGCTGCCTGGTGTCCCCAAGTGCAGGAAGGCCAGGATGTGCCCTCCGGAGAGAACGCGTGTGTTAGATGAGTGTCCTTCAGGCACGAGTGCACAGAGCTGTTAGCCGTGGGTTCGGTGCTAACAAATCAACAGTCTATATTACCTAAGGTGTCTCTAAACAGAAACACCTGTAGACTAAGGCTGTGTATTGATGGGTTGATGAGAAGGTGAGCAAAGGCTCACAGGAGGCCACCCTGTGTCTCCCCCCCACCCCCCCGCCCTGGGATCGGTGGCCCAGAACTCACAACCACGTGCTCACGGCAGCTGTGCGGAATGCAAGTGCCTCAGATAACGAGAATCGACTGTGTTTTATGAGGTCCAGGTGTCAATACGTTATCTCATATGACGTTCTACCTTGCTGTAGTACATGTGGCTATGTAACACCCCGTGCTCCGTGTGTGCACGTCGCATATGGGATCACGTGTAGTGTTGTCTCACCTGCTCTTAAACTTGTGTTTGACCCCTTCTTTTCTTGCCTCTTTACACGTGGCTGGGTCAACCCCTCTCCTGGGCTCCCCACTCCCTCCCTCCCCCCATCCTTCTCCTTGTCACAGACTTCCTTACAGCCTCCCTTATTCTCTCCACAGCTGGCCCCCGAAAGGACACTCCCCAAGTCCCCAGCCAGGGGCCCCGCGTAGACCTGGAGTGGACACCCCCTCCTTCCCTTCATGATTCGTTTGTAGCGCAGGTAACCGGCCAAGGGTCCCAGTTCGTACCTGGAGGGGCGCTTGTCCCTCATTCCACCTCCCTGGGCCCACCCTGACCCCCGGAAGAGGAAGGAACACTCCTTCTTGGCAGAGCCTGACTTAGCCAGCACCCTTCCGCCCCTCCCCCTCCGGCCTTGGGCCCCCTGGGTCATCTGGACCATCCCCCTGCCTCCATGCCAACTGCAGGTGGGATATCCTCCCCATTTTCCCCTTTTCTCCAGATTCTTTGCAGGTCTTGCCTTTCTGTCCCCTGGCTGGGCCTTCCCCTCCCACCCCACCCCTGCCCCGGGCTGGTCGGAAAGGGCAGGGCTAGTAGGCCACTGACCTCGTGGTGACACAGGAAGAAGGAAGCATAGGTGGGCCTGGGATATGGAGCTGGCAAGAGCCCGTTGTCGCCACTGCCAAGTGCAGCCAGCGCCTGGGAGGGACCTCGAGGGACGGTCCCCATGGCCAACGCTGGAAGGGAGAGTCATTGGTGTGTGTGGAGGGGGCTGTTCCCGCCAGCTTTGCATGGCGTGTTCTAGGCTGGGCGTGTTGACCCAAGGCCCCGGGGTGTGCACGTGTGTGTCCCACAGCCCTTGGGAAAGTGTGTGTCAGTTTCGCCCCACCTGCGTGTTTTTGGCAGAAGGGTCTTTTGCCTTCATCACATTCTCCAAGGCACTGTTCAGAGAAGAACCTGAACAGTTCAGGACGGTTCACACGCAGGGCAGACCCCTGTCCCACCCCGCTCTGGGCCAGGCCCCGGCGCAGGGAGGCCGGGCAGGCCAGGCTCTGGGCCAGACTCTGGGTTCGAGGCCTGGTTCTGCCCCCTGCTGGCTGGAAAATGAATGACGAGCTCTGGGCCCCTGTTTACTCCTCTGCAACACGGGTGGGGGTGGCAGGACCCATCTTGTGGGGTGCCGTGAGGATTAAAAGAGTTACGGGCGTGTGAAGCACTCAGCACAGGCCTGCACGTGATCAGGGCTCACTCAGTCTTGGTGGATGTCCTCATTGTGGGCATCAGATGCTGGGGAAGAGGTTGGGGGAGGAGGAAAAGGCAGCCGTCTCTGGCTGCTCACCACCCCCACCCACACCCAGAGGCTCAAGGGAACAGAAACTCTGACCTACCAGAGACCTTGGTTCCAGGGAGGGGTCCTGGAAGGGAGGGTCCTGGCACACTGCCTACATCTAACCTTGTCCCCCTTGCCCCCTTCCTGCCCCACCCGGTTCAGTGGCGATGGATGATGAGGATGGGAGATGCTTACTAGACGTGATTTGGTGAGTAACAGACTCCCTCCGCCCTCCCTGTCCCCCCTCCCCTGGCCCTCACCTCCTCAGTGTCTCTCCCCTTCTGTCTTTCAGTGACCCTCAGGCCCTCAATGACTTCCTACATGGATCCGAGAAGGTGAGTGCTGGGGCAGGCAGGGGCCTCCCCGGGGTAGGGGGCTGTGGAACTGGGGGGCTGAGAGACCTGAGCCCCTGATTCAGTAGACATCTGCCTCTTGCATTCTGGGAGCTGGGCCCCGGGGTTATGGCAAGAGCAGAAGACATGACAGATCCCTGCCCTCATGCCATACACATTTCCTTGATAAACAAAGTAGTAACTGCTAAAGGTGATCGCGGACAGAACCCTGCAGTGTAGGATAAGAAGTAAGAAAAGAATGTCCCCGGCACAACGAAAATGGTGTAAAACAAAATGAATGGGGGGCAGGGGCAGTGGCTTCTTTAGCTAGTGTGGGCAGGGAGGTGACCTTGAAGGCGACCTTGAAGGATCAGAGAGAGGCACCCATGGTGCTCTGGGCAGGGGAAGGGCAGGTAGAAATGCAGGAAAATTTGTTATGTTCGAGGAATGGCAAGAAGGCTGGTGGTACCGGACAGAAGGGGAAACTAGTAGTGCTGAGACCAGAGTGGACAAAAGTCACAGGTCATGCAGGGCCTGGAACAAAGCTGAGCCACGAGGAGCTGTTATCTAGGGCTGCGTAACAAATTGTCCCAACACTTAGTGACTTAAAACAACTTGTTAGTGCTCTCACAGTTTCTGAGGGTTGGGCCTCGGGGAGCAGCTTAGCTGGGTGCTTCTGGCTCGGTCTCTCCAGAGGTTGCAGTCAGGATGTTGGCTGGGGCCACCATCATCCGAGGGTTCGTCTGGGGCTGGAGAATGTGCTTCCCTGATGGTTCATTCCCACGGCTGTGGGCTGGAGGCCTCAGGGCCTCACCACATCGGCCTCTCCGTAGGATCCTTAAGCATCCTCACGACACGGCAGCCAGGTTCCCCCAGAGTGAGGGACCCAAGGGAGAGAGCCAGGAGGATGCTCAGGGCCTCTTATGATCTCGTCTCTGAAGTCACACACCATCGCTTTTGTCACCTTGTATCCAGTAGAAGCAGGTCACCAACCCAGCCCACACTCCCAGGGAGGGGAACGGAGCGCCACTTCTTGGAAGGAGAAGCAGCAGATGATTTGTGGAGCAGGGGCGAGTGCAGTGGGCTGAGGGTGGCCAGGGCCATGGGGTGGGCAGCAGAGGGGGTGCCAGGCGCTGGCTTTGGGGGGCAGTCAACTAGACCTGCTGGTGGAGTAGATGTTGAGGAGGAGAGTGTCAGGTTAGCTCCTGGATTTGGGCCTGAGCAGCTGAGTGGGTTGTGTCTCCAGAGCTTGGGAGTTTGGGGCTGACTCCACAAGGGAGGCTGTTGGCCATGCCAGGCTGGGGTTCTGGAAAGACGTCCAGGTAGAGAGAAACCGGGGAGGCTCAGTGGGCATTCGTGTGGACGCCGGGCCCTGTTCTAGGAGCTAGAGACGCCTCTGGGAATTGGACAGGTCCCTGGCCTCCCAGAGACGGGCTCAGCAGGGCGCACTGGGTGCCCGGACGGTGGGGCATGCCAGCTACTTGGGCCGCATGGAGAAAGGAGTGGCTTAGTCAGGTGGGACGGGCGGCTGTTGGGAGGAGGCGGCGACCGTGACGGGTCGTGAGGGGTGTGCTGTCAGAGAGGTGAAGGGGGAAGGCAGGGGCACAGCTTGGGCAAAGGCACGGAGGCAGGATCCTAGGGTTCCAGGCAGGCATGTTGGGAGAGCCTCGGACTCCGTGTTGGGCACATCTTGGGTTTTGAACATGCTGCCAAGCCCCGTTCTTTGGTGCCTCTTTTCCGGAGATGGAGTTTCCCATATTCCTTGCACCGCCCGCCCCCCACCCCCACCCCATCTGTGTCCTTTGGTCTAGTGTAACTTTAAATTGGTTTTTGTTCTAGAGCAGGGCCTGCCCGCTGCCTGGCTGATCTTTGACCTTGGGTGGGGGCGGGTCTTGTTGCAGCTCGATGGTGATGACCTCCTGGATAACCCCGGGGAGGCCCAAAGTGCCTTCTATGAAGGTCCTGGGGTAAGTGGCCCAGGGGTTCGGGGAGGGCCCCAGGCTCTCAGTCATGGCTCATATTGCCCCTGGTGGCAGTCAGCAGGAGGGAGGCCCTAACGGCGAGAGGGAAGGGGTCATGATCGTCCCCCTGGGGCACCTTGCTGGGGGGTTGGGGAGGGCAGTCACTGACAGCAGTGTGGGGCGGAGGTGGGACCACAGTGGGATGGCCTGGCCCACGGGCTCCTCAGAAGAGGTGAGGGAGGGTCCTGGGTCCCGGGCCTTGGGGATCAGTTGCTACAGAGCGGTCCTGGGAGTTGAGGCAGATGCTGGGGTTCACTGGGGACACTCTTCTCGGGAGCAGAGGGTGTGGGGGCCTGGAGGCCTGTCCCTGCTTAGCCATCATGGTGGGGTGTGACCTGGGGAAAGGGGATCGACTGACACAGACTTCAGTCTCCATCTGGAAAACGAAGGCAGGGGTGATGAGCCAAGCCCAGAGTGGGGAACGTGGTGGACATTAATTGAGCACCTACTGTATGCCTGACTGTGCAGTTGTCCTTCCCTCTTCTTCCTCCCCTTCTGCTGCTTCTCCCTTCCTCTCCCCAACCCTCCCCCCTCCTCTTTCTCCCTTCCCCCCTCCTCCTCCTCCTCATCTCTTCTCCCTCCTCCCTCCTGGTCATCATAACTATGATTCGCTGAACACTTACTATATGCTGCCAAGCCCCTTTCAGTCACCTTTATTTAATGCCCACAACAAGTATAATAATATATTCTGAATAATTCATCTTTCATAGTATAAATACCTATAAAGTCCCTGGTCAGGTTCTAAGCCTCCCATATGTGAGGTCAGCAAAAGTCACGACCGTCCTAGGAGGCGGGTTTGGTTGTGGCCATTTAGCGGTTAAGAACTCAGAACTGCCTAGTTCTGGGTTGGGGGCCGAGCAGGGGCCCCCTCCTCCAAGCACTCCCCTCTCTCCGTCTGGGAAAGGAGGATGGGGGGCCGTGCCCGCGTCACTGAGCTTGTTACCGACAACAACAATATGGACGGCATAATGATAACGTTAGGTGATGTTTCTCACACACGTGCTAAGGTGCCGGGTACCACGGTAAGCCCTCCGTGTGGTTGAACTCCGGACCTTTTAAACTCCCAAGTTTTGATCTATTATCTGGTCAAATATCAGTGGGGATTACGTGCTCTAAGCATAATTATTGCTCATGTGGTATTTGCTCAAATGATCACACGTATATCGATTGTGTTCGTCCTGGATCGCAATCCGGGACAGCATGGGACGCAACGTGGGAAGACGTGTCAGACTCAGCGCCGCCTGCACAAAATCAGGTTCAGGGCGGTAGCTGCTCCTGTCTTTAACACGACCGTGGTCTCTTATCCAAAACCTTTGAGGCCAGGCGCGTTTCAGATTTTGGAATTTTCCAGATGCTGGGAGGGTGATGCAGAATGTCACATAGCATGCTCACGTACCTTTCCGTGGTCAAGAAGAGTCCCGTTACGTGGACAAATCATGGCCCTCCCCGAGCGCGCCATGTCACTTTTGGTTAGGTTTTGCTACCGAAAGAGTTGTGAAGACATTTGCCATTTTCAGGGCCCTTTCGAGCTTTGGAATTGCAGATTAAGTATTATGGGCTTTTATGGCTCTTTAAAGGATGGTCTTTATTCCATTCTACTGACGTGTACAGACGGGGAAATAGGCCAGACTGAGCAAGCCCCAGGTTGTACGGCTAAGCGGAGCTGGGATTTGAACCTAGGTCCGGCCACTTCCAGATGGAATATTCTCTCTGCCCATTCTGCTCTGGCACCAAGGGTCCCTTTGCTTTAGCCGCGCCCTGAGCCAGCCCCTCGCTAACCTCCGCTCTTCCCTTCCCACCTTACCCGGCCTCCAGCTCCATGTGCAAGAAGCTTCTGGCAACCACTTGAGCCCAGAGCCCACGCAGCCGGCCCCCAGCGTGGACCTTGACTTCCTGGAGGATGCGATCCTGGGCTCGCCTGCCGCGGGGGGCGGCGGGGGGGGTGGCGGAGGCGCCGACCAGCCCTGCGACATCCTCCAGCAGAGCCTCCAAGAGGCCAACATCACTGAGCAGACACTTGAGGCCGAGGCCGAGCTGGACCTGGGCCCCTTCCAGCTGCCCACCCTACAGCCTGCGGATGGCGGAGCAGGCCCGGCGGGTGCCGGAGGGGCTGCTGCCGTGGCCGCTGGGCCCCAGGCCCTGTTCCCAGGCGGCACCGACCTGCTGGGGCTGCAGGCCCCGCCCACCGTGCTGACCCACCAGGCCCTGGTGCCGCCCCAGGACGTGGTCAACAAAGCCCTGAGCGTCCAGCCCTTCCTGCAGCCTGTGGGCCTGGGCAATGTGACCCTGCAGCCTATCCCAGGCCTCCAGGGCCTGCCCAACGGCAGCCCTGGGGGCGCCACGGCGGCCACGCTCGGCCTGGCACCCATCCAGGTGGTGGGCCAGCCCGTCATGGCACTCAACCCGCCCACCTCCCAGCTCCTTGCCAAGCAGGTGCCCGTCAGCGGCTATCTGGCCTCTGCGGCCGGCCCCTCAGAGCCGGTGACCTTGGCGTCCGCCGGCGTCTCACCCCAGGGGGCTGGCCTGGTCATTCAGAAGAACCTCCCCACCGCCGTGGCCACCACGCTCAACGGGAACTCGGTGTTTGGAGGGGCGGGTGCGGCCACGGCAGCGGCCAGCGGGGCGCCCTCGGGGCCACCGCTGGCGGTGGCCCCCGGCCTCGGCACGTCACCGCTGGTCCCGGCGCCCAATGTGATCCTGCATCGCACGCCCACACCCATCCAGCCCAAGCCTGCCGGCGTGCTGCCCCCCAAGCTCTACCAGCTGACACCCAAGCCGTTCGCCCCGGCGGGCACCACACTCACCATCCAGGGCGAGGCGGGGGGCCTCCCGCAGCCGACCAAGGCCCCCCAGAACCTGACTTTCATGGCAGCGGGCAAGGCCGGCCAGAACGTGGTGCTGTCGGGCTTCCCCGCACCTGCCCTGCAGGCGAATGTCTTCAAGCAGCCTCCTGCCACCACGACCGGGGCTGCCCCGCCCCAGCCCCCCGGGGCCCTGAGCAAGCCCATGAGCGTCCACCTCTTGAATCAAGGCAGCAGCATCGTCATCCCCGCCCAGCACATGCTGCCGGGCCAGAACCAGTTCCTGCTGCCGGGCACGCCCGCCGTCCAGCTCCCCCAGACGCTCTCGGCCCTGCCCACCAACGTCGGCGGGCAGATCCTGGCGGCCGCGGCCCCCCACGCGGGTGGACAGCTCATCGCAAACCCCATCCTCACCAACCAGAACCTGGCGGGTCCGCTGAGCCTGGGCCCCGTGCTGGCCCCCCACTCCGGGGCCCACAGCGCAGCCCACATCCTCTCGGCCGCCCCCATCCAGGTGGGCCAACCGGCACTCTTCCAGATGCCCGTGTCCCTGGCCGCGGGCAGCCTGCCCACGCAGAGCCAGCCGGCACCCACCGGCCCCGCTGCCACGACCGTCCTCCAGGGGGTCACTCTGCCCCCCAGCGCTGTGGCCATGCTCAACACCCCCGATGGGCTGGTGCAGCCGGCCACGCCTGCCGCCACGGGGGAGGCCACGCCTGTCCTCACGGTGCAGACGGCCCCCCAGGCTCCACCGGCGGTCAGCACCCCGCTGCCTTTGGGCCTCCAGCAGCCGCCGGCCCAGCAGCAGCCCCCGCAGGCCCCTACTGCTCAGGCCGCCGCCCCGCCTCAGGCCACCACCCCCCAGCCCAGCCCAGGCCTGGCGTCCAGCCCCGAGAAGATCGTCCTGGGACAGCCGCCCTCTGCCGCCACCACGGCCATCCTCACTCAGGACTCCCTGCAGATGTTCCTGCCCCAGGTAACTGGGGCTGGGCAGGCGGGGACGTGGGGGGGACGGAGGGGGTGGCCAGGGCAGGGGGTATGCTGCGGAGAGGGGCCAGGAGCTGGAGCTGAAACTGTGCGGTGGAGGCAGCGACTGGGGAGGGTCTGGTGCGCTAGGGAGAGCGTCTCAGAGGTGGCACCCCAGCTCCCAGGGCGTGCGTCCCCCCTCGGTGACAGGGACTGACAGACAAGGAGGCGGCCCTACTGGCTGACGGACTGACCGTCCGTCCTCCTGCTGGAGGGCGTGAGAATCGCAGAGAGAGTGGGCAAGACATGGACAGACAGACAGACAGGGTGGGAGGCTGCGGGCGAGGCGGAGCTGGAAGATCGACAGGGCCCCGGGCGGCCCGACCTGGGGTTGTGGCCTCCCTGGTGCCTGGACCCTGGGGCTCCCGGCCGCCCTGGCCTCTGCGCCCAGCCTCTCAGTGCCCCTCTGCCCGGTTCCCACCACCCCCTTCTCCGAAGCCTCGGGGAGGCCAGGGTCTCGGGGTGGGGAGGCTGCAGGTCCGCGGGGTAGCCTTCTGACCCTGTGCGGGCTGCCCATTTCAGGAGAGGAGCCAGCAGCCCCTCTCCGCAGACGGCCCCCACCTCTCCGTGCCCGCCTCGGTCATAGTCAGCGCCCCGCCTCCCGCCCAAGACCCAGCCCCGAGCACCCCCATCGCCAAAGGAGCTGGCCTCGGCCCTCAGGCCCCCGACAGCCAGGCTTCCCCAGCACCGGCCCCCCAGGTAGATGAACCCCAGCAGCCTCTGTCCCAGCTCAGACCGAGCCTTGCCCCTGCGACCCCTCCTCCTGCTCCCTCCTCCCCTGCTCTGGCTGCCCTGCCTGCCTCTCTGTCTTGCTGGCTTGGGAAGGGTGCTCCTTCGCTCCCCAGAGAGTTCCCGAGGGTCTTCTGACAGTCATGGACTCCCCCTGCAACCCTGGGGGAGCCCACACTCTAGGCAGAGGTGCACACAGCAGGCAGGTCTTTCCTGGAGTTCTCATTTTCATATCTGGATAAGCAGTACATTCAGAGGGTTCATATCTCCAAAGCTACCAAAGGTCTCACTGAAAAGCCCCTTCTCCTGAACCACAGCTCCCTGCTTTCCCGAGGGCGGTTTCTTGCAGCCTTTCCCACGCATGGACAAGGAGAATGGCACCTGGATTCTTTCCCTCCCGTGGTTGCAAACACGGTAGCGCACTCGGCAGTTTCGCACCTTTGATCACTGAAAGATCCATCTTGGAGACGGTACTTCATTCTTCCATAGGACTGCACGGTACTCTGGCTGTGTGGATGCGTTGTTCTTTATCTCCCCGGTCCTTGTTGTCAGGCAGTCAGGTCACTTCTGATCTTTCGCTGCAATGAGCGAAGCTGCAAAGGATGACTGTACATATGTCATTACGTAGGGTCAGTTCTCAAAGAGGAAAGTGCTGGGTCCGTCAGAGGCCATTTGCACTTGCCGTGTTGACAGATGCTGCCAGATTGCCCTCTGTGGAGTATCAGTTGGTTTGCCCTTGATCATCAGTCTGTTGCTTGTACCTGTTCTTCTGCAACCTCAGCAGCGTATTGAACTTAGCCAATCGGGTCAGGTGAAAAGTGGCTCCTTGTTTTGTTTTACTTTGCATTTCTTTTACTGTGAATGAGGTGGGGCAAGCTTTCATAGATTGAGAGCTGTTTGTGTTTTCTCTGAAATTGTCGGCCCGTACCCCTTGCCAAATTTAAAATTGGGGTTACTGGTCCTTTTCTTGTTGATTTGTAGAAACTCTTTGCATATTAGGAAAATTAGCCTTTGTCTCCTACGAGTCGTAAGCACATGAGAGTTTAGAGAGGGCCCCCTTTTATTGTGGAGGGGGGATGTTGCACTCATTCAGAAAGGACTGATGGATGGGTAGAGGAGGTCGATAAGAGGAGGAGGAGGGAATGACATTCAGCAAGGTCAGGGTGACAGAAAGCAGCGTGGGCTTTGGCCTTAAACAGCCATGATTTCACTCTCAGGTTCTGCTACTTGCCGTGTGACCTTAAGCGACCAGTTTCTTCTTTCCTTAAACAGATTATTCGGGGAAGAAGGGCACTTAGTAGTGCCTGGCCTTGGGCTGCCCTGAGCAATTCCCCGTAACTGCTGAACCTTGATTACCTCATCTGGAAAGTGGGAATAATAGTTTCTTAAAGGCCTATTAGGAGTAAGTGAGTTAACATAAGCCCTCAAGAAATATTTGTTATTATCATTATTATTGTTGTGGGGTAGAACAGGATCAGGTCCGGAATCACAGTCTAGAGGGACTCGGGGCCAAGATGGCCTCAAGCCATCTCTCCCCCAGGAGGAGAAAGAAGCAGAGGAGGGGGAGGGACAAGAGGCCAGGAGCTGCCTGGCCTTTGAACAACTCAAGCTGGAAGCAGCATCTCTAGAGTGGGTTAGATGCTGCTGGCCTAGGTCCCTCCAGCAAGCGGCCTCTCCTCCCCGAGCCTCCCACGGTCAGCTGTACCAGGGGGTTTGTAGAATTGGATAAATCAGTGGAGGAAATCATTTATTGATGAAACCAAGCACACGCACGGGAGCCCGCCCTGTGCTCACTCTGTGCTGAGTACGCCACAGTGCAGTCAAAGGGAGAGAATGTTCTCAAAGGAGATGTGGGTCAGCTGCAGGGAAACAGCCCGAAAGATGAAAGCATTGAAGGGATCAGGGTCCCCATGAGGAAACAGGGGAGGAACCCACTCTAGGGAGAGTAGGCAGGAACCACGTCAGGGAGGGGGATGTATTTAAGCCAAGGCCTGAAGGAAGAGAAGGGGGGGGGAGGGCAATAGCATGTGCAAAGGCCCTGAGGCAAGGACAAGCTTGGGATATCAAGGAATGGAAAATAGGCCGAGGGGAGTGGAGGGAGGTCGTCGGGTCAGAGAGGTTGGCAGTGCCTCGTGGGCCAGTGAGTTTGGACCTGGCCAAACCACTGGAGAGCTTTCAGCTGGGCCGTGGCATGAGCTGATTATATGATTTTCAGTGATCCCTCTGGCTTCCATTGGAAAATGGTGTGGTGGGCAACAAGAATGAAGTCCAGAGATCCTCATGGGACAAGATGACAGGGCTTCAAAGACCAGGGTGGTCACAGCGATGACGAGGGACGTTGGAGGATTCAGGGCATAATCTGGAGCTTGCCTCGGGGATTAGAGGCATGAGGAAGAGGGCATTATGGTAAAAACTTCATGAATGGTAACATTTCTGTTATTTCTAAGTGCTGTTCAGAATCATTTACAAGCATCATCTCGTTGAAACCTCCCATCAGGTAGGTGATAGATATTCTCCCCATTTTACAGATGAGGAAACAGAGGCACAGAGATTAAGTAGCTTGCCCAAGGTTACCTAGCTGGTAGGGCCTGGATTCGAACCTGAATGGTCAGTGGCCGGAACACCTGAGGTCTCGAGAAAGCCAGACCTGAGCGTGAATCCCAGCTCTGCTTAGCATTAAATGCTCTGAGACATGGTTTATGGGAAATGGTGGCTCTGCACAGAGCGAGCATTCAGTGAGCAGGTACCTGTCATCAGCAACTGTGGATGGCCTTTGAGAAGAAAGGTCAGCTGTGCACGTGAGCTGATTCCCAGTCACCCGCACGCAGGCCAACGCGGGGCTAGACACATCGTTGGCCACATGCAGCTTCTGCGCCCACGACAGTGCATGACGGGAGTTCTTGATGAATGTTTGTTGGGTGAGCAAGTGGATGGAGAGGTGGGGGTGGGTGGATGGACAGGTGGATGATGGATGGACAGGTGGACAAGTGGGTGAGTGGATAGACCGAAGAATACAGACACACCGAAATACCAGCAGTGTGCCAACTGGTGCACGTGTGCGTGCGTGCGCGTAAGAGCCGCTCCCAGACCGGAGGTGGGTCATTGCTTCAGCCCACGTTCCCCAGGCACCTGCTTCGTGCCCAGCCCCAGCCGTGCCCTCTCAGGGCTCACACTCCAGGGGTGGATTTTGTCATCAATATCCCGACTCTCGAAATTGTCCCTTGATGGGACCCTGACTGTCTTTTCAGAGAGGGAACACTGACCATCCTGCTCAGGAAGCTCAAGGCTTGCTGTGTGTTGCTTATGGTAGGCTTAAAACACACACACACACACACACTTAAAACACACACACACACTTTGTCGTGATTCAAAGAGCGTTACCCAGACGTGGTTTTAAAAATTCGGTTTAGGGCGCCTGGGTGGCTCAGTTGGTTAAGCAACTGCCTTCGGCTCAGGTCATGATCCCAGGGTCCCGGGATCGAGTCCCGCATCAGGCTCCCTGCTCGGCAGGGAGTCTGCTTCTCCCTCTGACCCTCCTCCCTCTCATGCTCTCTGTCTCTCATTCTCTCTCTCTCAAATAAATAAATAAAATCTTTAAAAAAAATAAAATAAAAATAAAAATTCGGTTTAAAAAGAAAAAAGGGCATACAGTGAAAGCGAGTCTTCCTTTCTGTGGAATTCCTGGCCCTTTCCCCATAGACTCCCACCCCTGTCGATTTCTCTGTGGAGCCCCACCGTGTCCTCATGGCGCAGGCACTAGGGACACTTGGGATCGGGTCATTTTCCATTGTGGGGGGCTGTCCTGAGCACGGTGGCACGCTGAGCAGCATCCCTAAGCCTCTAACCATTTGTTGCCGGCAACACCCCTTCTCCAGGTGGGACAACCATGGCGATCGCCAGAGATGGCCAGGTGTCGCCTGGGGGACAGAATCACCTGGGTGGGGAACAGCCGTCCTGTGCGCATGACAGGCCTCCCTCGTTGTCTGAGCTCGGAGCCAGTTAGACGTGACAGCCTGCGTGTGCACATGCGGGCGCGCACTCTCCCTTCTTACACACAGAAGCACACCGTCCCGTTCTTGTGTACCTTGCTTTGCTCGTTCAGCCAGATCTCTTGGACCGCTGACTTGCATGAGAATCCCATTGTACATCACCCCCTGGGATGCACGTAAGTGTGTGTGTGTGTGTGTGTATGCATATCACCGAAACAGCTTTCACAGGATAATACGCTATTTTTTATTAGTTTTCTCTGTTCTTTTTCTTTCTTTTTTTTTTTAAGATTTTATTTATTTGAGAGAAAGTGAGAGAGAGAGCGCACGAGCAGGTGAGGGGCAGAGGGAGAAGCAGATTCCCCGCTGAGCAGGGAGCCCCATGTGGGATTTGATGTCGGGACTCCAGGATCATGACTTGAGCTGAAGGCAGACGCCTAACGACCGAGCCACCCAGGCGCCCCTCCTCTGTTCTTTTTAAATGCTAGTCACGACCTCCTAAAGTGACTGGAACCATTACTAACAGGCACTAGGTGTGATTTGAAACCCACCATCCGAGGTAGTCGTTAGGCACGGGGGCTCCGGAATCCCAACTCTGCACTTACAGGCTCGGTGACCTTAGCCAAGTCACTTGCCTCTGTGTGCCTCAGTTCCCTTCCCTGTAAAATGAGGGTGAGCATACCAGCGTCTAGGTCACAGGGTTGTTGTGAGGAATAAATAAGCTAATATACGTTAAGATGCTTGAATGAGGTCAGGCGCATTGAAAGGAAGCCAGGCCAACACTCTATAAAGGGCCAACGGGAAGCATTTTAGGCTTTGTGCAGAAGCCGCCCTAGACCATATATGTAAATGAGTGAGCATGCACAAGTTCCAATAAAACTTTATTTATGGACACTGAAATTTGAATTTCATATCATTGTCGCCAATCACAATATCTTTGGTTTCTTTTCCATTTTTTAAAAAGATTTACTTATTTATTTTAGA